AGAGTAGCAATAGAGGTTCCGCACTTCTAATTTGCATCCAGCAGAGGATGGTCATGGAAGGAGCCTGGAGTGGCAGGCCTGCTGGAGGAGACTGGATAGACTAGTCTACCAGGTTGAACTTTAGCCAGATTCTTTGCTGTGAATTGAACCCCAGGCTTCATATGTGCTAGGCAAGAGCTCTAGTGCTGACCTATGCCAGATTCTTTTTAAATTATGAATTCTCTGCTGGCTTCACTCATATCCTCTGTCTCAAATTCTAGGTGCCAGGTAATGGCACCTGGACGGTTTTCAAAGCTCCACAAGTGATTCCGATGCACCAGAGGCACTGACAAATCCTAGTTAGTGCATAGGCCAGAGTCTTTTGTGATGACTTCTTTACATAAATCCACTGTAGAGGCTCCAAACTCACAGGGAGAAAAACAGCAGCAGCATTAGGCCTCCATGAGCAAGAGCTTCTCACTCAAAATTGGTCATAAATTACATTAGTCAAGAGTAAATTCTATAAAATGAGATGCAAAGTATCACCACCACCCCCTTATCCCTATTATTAATCAATTATCCTCCTATTTTACAAGCCACAGTTTGCTCTGGTATCCTTAAAGCTGAAGTGGTGGAAGGCAGTTTATGGCTGATCACACAAGGAAAATAAGTGACCAGATGAAATTTTCACTTGTGGATTGTATCAAAAACTGAAAATGCATCTAATTTAGTGGAATAGCTCCTTGGCACATTTCATGGATTTTTCAAGGATCTCTGTGTTTCAATGGGCCAACTTTATCTGTTTTGGTCCCAAATAAAAATTAATTCACATGTGCATAGAAATAGACATCTTTAATTTCAGATTCCTTATAGAAAAGTTATGCTTACCAAGTATACAGCTGTCATGGTTTCATTGATGCCACATGCAGCCTGAAATTCTGCCGTGAAAGAGGAAAATGTACCCCTATGTCCTAACACCTTTCAGTGATAGCTTTAGTATAGGCAGCACAATGGGGGGTAAAAAAACCATTCCCCACTACCCACTTGAGTGTGGACAACCCTGCAGAGCCAATCCTTCCTTTGTTCTAAGAGAGTTAGAAAATAAAATATCAAAGACCCAAATAACTGAAATTCTAGGACTTCACGCATGTTAAGTCTTGTGGCCTGACCTTCAGTAGCATTTTCCCCACTCTAATCTTATTAAAGTTTCATAAATATGAATTGCATCTCATATATGTAATTTAATCAGAGTGAATTCTGGGACCCACAGGTTTTTTGAAAGCCCCTCAGCACTCAGTCAGTTTTCTTGTCAATCTCACCTTAGAGAACCAATGAAAATCACCCAGGCTGGAGAACAAGTCCTTCAAAACCCAAATGTCTGATTTGTATGTGTGTGTGTGTGTGTGTGTGTGTGTGTGTGTGTGTGTACTGTGCTTTTCACCTTCCTGTTATCCAAGCACCACTTTTCTGTTCAAACATGCCCTGAGCACATCTTCCCATGATCCTCAGCAAATGGCTGCTGTTCTTTTACCATTGGATGTATGTTTGCTCATCATAAGAGCCTGGGACCTATCTACTGGATCCATCCCAGGATTCAACCTTGAAACCTTAACTATTAAACATTCCATTTTAAATACTATTGACCAATGCCCAATTTGCCCCTGAACACAATTATGAACCAAATTTTGAATATGAAAAGACCTTTAAAGAAATGTAGCTTTGTATTTTTGAGAAAAAAAACTCAATCAGTCACAAAGATAGAAGTGACCCTAAGCTTGACATTTGTCCAGGAGCACACACTTTTGTGGTGTCCAACTGAATATTCGACTTTGTTCATGGTGTTATCTTTTTCTAAAGAAAGATAAGTGACATTGAAACCTCTGTCAAAAGCATCTCCAGTTCCAAAGTTGCAGAACATCACAAGTATAGAAGATAGACAAACTGAGTCATGCTCTGGGTATGTGTATGTGCATATGTGTGTGCATGATATGCCCAAGTACGCTTCTGGAGGTGTGGGGAAGCAGGTGAGTATATTCAGAAAAAGACTGGGAACTGGAATATAGACTTTAAGAGATGAGGAAGGGATACGAACAGAGGCAGGAAAGAGAGAAGAGGGTAATGGGATTAAAAATAATCAACATATGTGATATGCATGATATTGAGATGAACCTCATGATTCTGTATTACTAATTCTCCCTGAAAACAGGTCACTTCTACAGGTGTAGCAAAAAAACAAAACTCAACTGATTGCTCTCACTAAGGGTTGCAATCTGGGAATTAAAGCTTAGTGCTGTGACCTTATGGTTAAGAATTTAAGAAGCTTTTACTCCCCGAGAACAAGGCTATGCTGCTCTTTCCTAACCACTTCATCCTAGATTTCTAATTGCCACTCATATAGCAAAAAGTAGACTTCTTGCTGAGATCTGAGATTCATCAGGTTTATAACAACAATCTTCTTCTTGGTCAGCAAAGTTCCTTGCCCCCGTTACCCATCCCACAAGCAGGTCCACCATCTGCTCAGGAGAACGCATCTTTCATAGGCAGCTACAGCAGCAGCAGCTCCCATCTCCCCTGCTCCCCCGCCAAGTGACCTTATTACTCCCTCATCAAGAATTGGTGTCTACTGACCCAAGAAAGGGGTGTCAGCACTCTCCTGGGCTCGGCCTAAGCTTCACCAATAAAAGAAATGGTGTCTAGCTTCCTTTCCTAAGTTAAGGCTGGCTTTAAGGACTTGCTTGGAACCAAGAGAACATAGCAGAAATGATGCTGCATGACATCCCGACCAGGTCAGAGAAGACCACGAGGATTCTGCTTTGGTCTCTCTGGATGCTGGCCCTGCCTTTAGGGTAGTGTCCAGGCCTCTTAGCATGACCTCACAGTTCCCCAACTGCAGCTCCTCTGAGCCTTTGTTCATGCTTCACTACTGGCTACTGCCTCAATCTGCCAGCTTCTGAGAGCTAATTTCTTCTCACACTTGCTTAAGACTCACTCTGGAACGTCACGTCTAGGAAGCTTCCTGTGAAAAGAGGAAGCTTAAGAGAGCTCAGTTTGTTCCCTACTCATGCGCTGGTTGAAACATTCAATGCGTTCATAGATACCCTTGAATTTGAAACTCGCCACACAGAGCCTGAAGCTTTAAAACTAGCCTGGAAAAAGACAGGTTCAGGCTTAGGCCCTCACATACTCAAGAGATGATGATGGACAGTCTACACCAATCCTTCAGTTTTTAAGTCACAGTGTGGTGCTGAAGAGGAATGAAACAGGGCACACTCTTCTCATGACATCCTCATCCCTCCGAGTTCCTCCACAGCCCCTGGAAGGAGGCCCCTTTTCCCTCACTTCTCCCTTCCCATAATTAACTCCCCTTCAGCTTTCATATAGCTACACAGATGTGCCTTTTCTACAAGGAAGCCACCCTTACCACTGTCTTGGGCAGACTCATTGGTGTAGCCAAATCCATTATAAGAAAACTCGCCACATAATTGTGGTTTGGGGGCATTTATTTCAAGCTTTAGCTTTGTCCCTATTGTACTATATGTGTATGGGTGAACTTTCCCACAGAAGCCTGCATGAAAGGGGAAACCTAATGGCAGAGGCAGGTAAAACACTAAATTACAGAAAAGTTCCTCAATATAGGGGCAGACTGATTGCTAGGAAAACTGATTCATGAACCATCTATTCATTCATTGCTCTTATATTTGAGGAGGGAATGATCAGTTAATAAGAATGACTCTGCAGCTTCAGCCTAGGGCGCCAGGAGAATCTAAATACCCCAAAGGGAAGGCAGGGGTCAGAAGGAAGATAGAAATGTGGGACAGGAGATGTGAATGAGATTTTAAATGAAAGAACTGTCAGGTGGGAGGTAGCAACAACTGATATTTACCGAGCATTTAGTATAAGCCCAAATCAATTCAGTTCTTCACTTTTCTGATTTAATTCTAAAAAGTAGTTCCTGATATTAAGCCCATTTTACAGATAGGGACATTGAAAAACAGAAAAGAATTCCTTTTCTCAGGGTGAAGGCAGGCCCCAAATCCAAACAGTCTGAGTCTGGGGTCCTTCCTCTTAGTCCCATGCTCTGGGCCTCTGAGAGTCACACAGAATCATTTTGTTGGCAAACATGTTGAAAAGGTAAGTTGGTCACAGGAGTCTATAGGCAGAGAACAGAGAATGAATAAGCACAGGAATGTGCAAGGATGGTGGAGGTGGGCACAGCTAGACAGGAGAGGCAGGATGAAAAAGATAATGATGGTTCCTGAGGAGACTCTGTTAAAAAGATTAGACACTTCAGAGGACATAGTGGAAGGAAGAGAGATGATAGAAATCTCCATAGGCTTGGCACCTGGGGTCTTGGTGATATTGTTTTTTTCAGTATTGAGGAACAAAGCCAGGGCCCTATGCATGCTAGAAAAGTGCTCCAGCATTGAACTACACCCCAGCTTTCTTAGTGACCTTTAGGAAAGCATTATCTGTAAGTTGGCCTGGCAGCCCACAGAGGGGAAGAAGCCATTGGAATAGGAGAATGATAAATTACAGGGTTCCAGAAATTTGGCCATAGGAGCAGGAGACAGGATATCCAATAGAGAAAGCAGGGTTCCAGTGAGAATGTGCCATGGGAAATAAATGTATAAGCCATCTGGAACCAGAAGAGGAAGGAGAACACTGTAGGCCTAACATTGGGTTACAACAACTCACCCATATTTTTCTCCTATAAATTTGTACTTCAGCATAATAGGAGCTAGCTGAGCATCTCAGTAGCTGTGTCTGGGGGTTATAGGAAGCAATCTGTGTTTACCCACTTGGTATGAAGAACAGCAAGGTATGTGCATGTGAGCAGAAGTGTCAAGTCAGGATTTTTACCCACATAATGGTCCATCTAACAGGATTTGTGTATGCTTACCTGAGCATCATAGTGGGTAAAATACACCCACACTACTCTTCTGTTATGAAAACATGTATTTTATCATAATGGAATGTGGGTGTGCCTCACAGTAGCTGTGCCTGGGGAAAGAAAAAAATCCATCTGTGTATTCACCCGCTTGACAGAAGAGGTGGCAAGGTGTGTACGTACAGGAGTTCCAAAGCAGCAACAGGTGAGTTTTACCCATGAATTGCTCATTGCTGAATTTCTGTGCATTTAGGATTTTTTAGAAAGCTTTCTTTTGATTTTTCTGGGAGAAGTAGCTCAACTCAGCACAATGGCACATGAAAAACCAGATTTGCAAGTTTTGGAGGTCAAAAGTGAATCATCAGATCACTCACGCATGATGAAGAAGATGATAATGACTCTGGGGTTGGCCATGTGAGCCAAAATTCCTATGCCAGTGAAATGGAGCCAGAATTGACTGATACAGATACAGGGAACACAGACCTCTTTGATTCAGATGATGAGGAAAACAGTAAAATGAGTGCATATTTAACAAGTTAAAATGTTGCAAAATGGTCACCCAACCAAATGGAATGATCCAATGTTAGAACTAGATCAGAAAATATAGTGAGGATCTTGACAGAGGTAAAAGTGCCAGCACTGCCATTTGTGTTAGAAATTGTAACAGACAAAATGTTGCAAGATGTTGTGAAATACACAAAGGCTGAAATAGAAGTATAACATTCTGTGTGTGCCAACAGCCATATACAAAAATATAGTTATTATGACACCTCAGAAGCTGACCTGAAATCATTTATAGGTCTGCTATACTTAGCAGGGATTTATCATGGTAATCACAGGAAGGTAAAAGACTTATGGCAAAGTGATGGGTCAAAATATGGAATAAAAATTTATGCCTTTGTAGGTGCAAAGACTTTTTATGATTTCAATTTAGAAATTTATCCTGGAACTCAGCCACTGGGTCCTCATTCATATAAAATAAACCAAATGATGTCGTGAACAGACCTGTTAATACCATTTCCCAAACTAATCAGAATGTGACATTCAACAATTGGTGTTTCGGTTTCCAATTGATGTTACATTTTTTAACAGAGCACAAGTTCACAAGCATAAGAACTGCAGGCAGACAGAAACAAAGCAGAAATTTCAAATGAAATGTTGCAATTTCAAAACAGAATTATACAGTACAATCTTTGGATTTCAGAAAGATTTACATTGGCCTGATACATGGCAAAGAAAAATAAACTGGCACTGCTGAGGTCAACATTACACTGTCATGGAAATATTGGCAGGGAAAACTCGACAGAATAGAAGCTTGAGATGGAAACTTTTTACAACAAAAGCAGAGGCAGAGTAGATGTTGTCAATGAGTTATGCAGCAACTATGATGTCACTTGAAACACAAAGCTTGGTCAATGGTTGTGTTTTACTTGATCCTAAACGTGTGTGGCAGAAATAGTTTGATAGTTTACAAAGAAAATAATAAGTGCAAAATAACAAGGAGAAATTTTCTTAGAGGATTGGGACTGGAATTCATAAAGAGATCATTTACAGCAGAGGAAAAACAGAATTTTGCTTCCCAGAGAACTATGCAAAAAAAAAAAAATCATGAAGCACACTGGTGAGTTGATAAGTGAATGGGCAGGCCCAGTATCACAAAGGTCTATTATGACAACAAGAGAACTAAACAGATGTCAACTGTGCCCTATAAGAAAGGACAGGAAAATAAAACATATGTGCTATCAATATAAGCTATACTTGTTTGTTTTGGGGAATCAGACCCAGGACCTTGTGCTTACTGAACTAAATCTCCAGAAGGTACACTTATGCATGGAGTATGAAGATTTCATATGTAAAGACTGCTTTGGGTGTGACAGTTGGGGCAAAGATAATTTCTGTGGTAGCCTTTTGTTTGTATTTAGATTGTAGTTTACATAGGTTTTTATTTCTGATGTTATCTTTTAGTTTTTGTAAGCAAGGAAACAGGTGATGTGATATTCTTGATGTCTATTCTAAGCACTCATTACATATTTGATATTTTATTTCATTCATATCTTATTTTTGGGTTAAGTTCATGTTGTACAATATAGTAAGAAGCTCCTGACAAAACAGGAAAAGAAGAGAGGTGTTATGGTTTGTGTCTAGATGCCCCCCGCCCATAGAGCCTCATGCATTCTTAGATGGGGCTTTTTTAGAAGTGGCTGAGTCTAGTGTGTGATGCTGAGATTGAGGGTGTGTGATTACTAAATCAGTCCACTGATTGCTGTGGCACCACCCTAATCCTGGTAGCCTGGATACAGTATAAAGGACAGAAAGATACTTGTCTTCTCCCTTGTTGCTTTTGCTACCTCGTGGGAGCCATGAACTCTTCCTCCTCTGTGACACCTCTCTGCCACTTGCTACTCTGACTTGAAGCCAGCCAATTATGTGCTGAAACCTCTACAAATTGTGGGCTAAATAAACCATTTCCCCTTTAATTTGGGGTGTTGGGTATTTTGTCTCAGCATTGAGAGAAAAGTAACTAGCACAAGAGGTGACAAGAATGGCCCGCCAACTGATGCAACCACTATGGAAATCAATATGGAGATACCTTAAAGAGCTGGGACTAGAAGTTCCATTTGACCCAGCCATCCCTCTGCTGGATATCTTTCCAAAAGAATTAAAATAATCAAATCACAGTGACATATGCACACCTATTTTTATAGCGGCACAGTTTGTAATAGCTCAAACTTGCAAACAGCCCATTTGCCCATCAGGTGGACACTGGATAAAGAAGATGTGGTTTTTCTATAAAGTGGAATACTACTCAGCCATAAAGAATGAGAAATTACATTCATTCATAGGAAAATGGATACATATTTAAGATATTCTAAGTGAAATAAATAAATCACATGTGTAAATACTGAATAGTTTCTCTGGTGTGAAAAACTATAATAGTACATAAGATCCTAATGATATAATTGACAATGTGAAATAGGAAGAAAAGGGCTAAAGGTGTTGGGAAAGTGAGAAGGGTAAGGGAAGGTAATAAGGGAAAAGAAAAAAATATGAGAAAATGAAAAAATGGAAATAAAGTGTTTGTAAATGGGGAGGGTAGGAGGGGGTGAAGGGAGGGCAGGGACAAGGGGAAAAAATGAGAAGCAAGACCTGTCATGTAAAGGTACAAGATCCCAATAATAAATGTAACTGTACTGTATACCTAAAATGTACCAATAAACTCGATGACAGAGAGAGATAAAAGAATGGCCCGCCATGTAGGAAAGGAAAGCTAAGCACATGTGCTGTCAGTGTAAGCAAGATGTGTGCATGGAATGTGCAGTTGTCATGTGTGAAGACTTCCTTGGGTGTGACAGTTGAAGAAAGGATTATTTTTATTGTAGAGTTCTACTGGTATTTTCATTGCAATTCATTTAGAAAATTACTTCTGATGTTATCTTTTAGGTTTTGTAAGCAAGTACACAGCTAATGTGAAAATGTTGACATATTAATAATTTTACATTTTATTTTATTAATATTTTATGTTCTCATTAACTACACATTGTATAGTATAATAAGAACCTCCTGACAAAACAGCAAGACCAGCATGATGTCAAATATGTCCTAAAAAAACACCAGGAAAGTAAAACACATGTGCTGTCAGTGTAATTGATACATGTGCCGGAATGTGATGCTGTGAATGTGAAGACTGCCTTAGGTGTGATAACTGAAGTAAAGATTTTTTTTGTTTTGGTAGAGTGCTATTGGTATTTTCATTGTATTTCATATAGGAATTTATTTCTGTTGTACTTTTTTAGACTTTGTACATCAAAACACAGTTGATGTTGAAAATGTTGCTGCTTTTCTATAAGCACTCAATAAATATTAAAAATTCAATACTTTCTTGATATTTTTCCTGTTAAGTACTCATTGTTTAATGTAATAAAACTAATACAATTAAAATTAATAATTCATCAATAGAAATATTCTAAAGAATAAATGTGGATATTATACACCCATGTTTATGTGTCTCTCAGAAATGAGACAGGAGACAGTGTCCTCATCCATCCCTGGGCTCGGAAGATTGCACCAATCCAGAAACCTTTTCTGGAGCAATTAATTCTTCCTAAGGATTTTATCTCTGAGCAGTTCCTAATGGCACAGAATTACACAAGGAGTTCGTCTTGGGACAAGGATCACAGCATAGTAAACTAAAAAAGATTTATCGCACAAAGAATTTTGGGATTCTCTGGCTGAATACGGTTCATTTCCTTGAATTTAGAATTTCTTAGAACTTTTAATGCTAATGGACAGCCTTATGCTCCAGAGGATGAGAATTCAAGGCTTCCAATTTTAGGCCCTACAGAGCCTTTGTGTCCTGGATCATTTGGCAGAACTAGCATTATCATGTGCTTATGAGGCAACAACAGTGTTCACCTACTATCATGGAAAATACTCCCCCTGGTTTCTGTTCAAGATAAACCAAGAGTAAAGTTACTCCAGCAAAGTCTGTGGGCTTATCTCTTCCTTCACAGCACATTCTAACTACAAATTTGCACCTTTTCTGGATTCTCACAATACACAATTAAGGTCCTTCAATGGAAGAAGCATTTTAGTGGGTTTCTCAAAATTCTTGTTTAACATGAAAGCTCAGGTGGCTATCACATGTTCTTTTTTTTAAAGAAAGAAAATCGACTTTCTATGCAACTATAATGTCACTAAAAAAAAGGATTTTGTGCAGGCTGGAATGGGCCTGGGCCCTGGTGTTACTCAGCTGGATGGGTACAGGGTGATTTGTGCAATGGTGTCCTGAATACTTTGAAAGAAATTATCCATGATGTTCAGTGTCAAGAAAGGAATAAGATGATTAAAAGAGGAAATGCCAGAGTGACACCAACTTTCACTGGCATAATGCCTGAAAGAGAGCATATCTTTCTCTCTCTTCCTCCTTATATGACATAAGTGAAACAGGAGCAAAGAGGCCTGGCATTTTACTGAATGTTCACTGAGTGCTTGGGAGGGGCAGACAGAGGTGTTAGAACAATTTTTGTAATGAGTCACAGTCAAAGGTACTTGACAAGTATTTTTAAAAATGAGAATCACTAATATCCCTCAGGACTACAAACCACCCTTGGTAAAGGTTATGAAGAGTCAAGATCAAGCTCACTTCTGTCAGTGCCAATATTATGAGGATAGGAATCTACCAAAAAGAGGATCTGCAAACTGAATGACCACCAGAGTGTGCAAGCAGATTTGGAAAAAAACAGAGGCAAAGGTTTCTGCCCACTACGTGCTTCTCTAACATTTCTGCAGGCACCCAACCCCAGCCCTTCGAGGCTTTCCGAACCACACATCCAATCCTGTGATTGTGTGGCACTAGGCACCGACAGCAAAGTTCACCCTTCCCCACCACAGCACCAATCCTCCTGCCAACTCACCAGTTATCTATGTGCTGCTGAGATTCTGAGATTGTGGCAGCAGACTCGAAGTGCCATAGGAGAAGGAATGAGGAAGAAGCACGCTTTTCACTTGCTGGGCAATCAGCTAGAACTCCCTCACTAACTTTTCAGGCCACTCACTTTTAACCCCAGCCTACCAATGCCCAGTCTGGGCCTGTCATGAAAGAGCCCACCTTCCTGTTCAGATTGACGGTGACTCTATTTTAATTTCACCATTTTAGTACCTTCATTACTGAAAGCTCATACTGTCAATACTCAACAGCTTCAAACTACACCCTGAAACCTATACTTGGGATTAATTTGTCTACGTGTTTGAAATGGAAAGCTGGGGTGGGGGCACAAAACCCACAAGAGTCAAGGGCCACCCAGGTTTTGGAGCCTGTACTGGGAGGAGTACCTTTGGATATCTAGGCTCCCTGACACTGAGACTGTCCCCACACAGTGGAGCCACAGAGTGACCTCATCACAAGAACAGGAAGAAAAATCATTATGGAGGTGAGGCTTCATGGCCTGTCACTTTTTCTTCAGGTTAGACCTGTTCCAATAAACTAGGCTTAATCAGGTGGCAGACCCAAGAGGGGAATCCAGGGAGTTGGGAGTGGCAGGGGGGAAACAGAAGCTTATAGGAAATTTGCCAGAGTAGAACTGTGGAGACAGAGACTTTGGGGAACGCAGACAAAAGCAGAAGTGATTGTGAGGAAGCCACAGGAGACACATCTGGAGATCTGCGAATACTGCTGCATGGAGAGTTCTGTGAAAGGCAAACAGCAGCTCTCCACTGCAATCCAGTAGCTGGGCAGGAAATAATTTCTGCCTGAAATATGGAACAAATCTGGGGTGCAAACAGAGAAGGCTCAGCTTCCTCAGTAGAGCCACAGACAAGGACACATTTGCCATGGTGGAAGAAACAGCAGGAAGCAGAAAAGCTGCAGGAGAAAAACAATATAGTGAATGAAAGTAAGGCACACTCCACTGATGTAAGTGACCCACTGTCTGTGGCCACTTCCACATTATATGGGTAGAATTGAATAGCTAAGAGTGGATAAAATAGTCCACAGAGCCTAAAATGTTTCCTGTTTTACTCTTCACAAGAAAAGTCCCCTTATCTAGACCCTGCCTCTGAAGCTGGCAGGATTTGGGCAAGAGGCACAGGCTGTACAGGACGGGCTGCTGGTGACAAATGGAGATCCAGTAAAAAATTCCTCCCAGTGAGCCAAGGCCATCTGAGGTTCACAAATGACTGAACAAAAGGTATGGAAACTCCAAGTCCTTTAAACTGCCAATGAGCACTAGAAGGGAACCAGTCGATGGTGCCAAGAGGCGCAAAGCTATGTCCTGATCCCTGCAACTGTATAGTCTTGCAGGGAACAGCTCAGCATCACTCTCCCAAAAGGCCCACACTTCTGAGATACTTTGGAGAAGCTGCTTCACTGAGTGGCATTCCAAGGTCTGGTAGGCACACAAAAGACAAATTTCCAAAAGTAGCACTTACTAGTTGATTTGTGAAAGTATATTTATTTGAACACCACTGAGGAATTATCATTGGATATGTTCTTGCTGCTCCATTTGTGAGCATGTGAGCATGCATGCATAAACACACAGGTATAATTGTTAATAATGGCTCCAATTCATTTACATTCACATAGTTATTTATATAATTTGTGCCGACACTTTAGCCATACAAATAACTTACACCCAAAGATTGATGTATATTTTTTAGACTGCTGTGTGCAATAACAAGATAGTCGTTCCTCATACAACTCCATTTTTAAAATATACAAAGTGATCAAGATGTTCTATTTTCTCCACAGAACTTGTCAGATGTGTTCTCCCAGTTCCCATCCTGAGAACAGTGAGTACATATCCAAGCCCATCCTAGCAGCAGCTCAGAGAAGGAAGATGCCCCCCTAGACCACGTGGAATGGACCAGTCATCCCTGCCTCATGTTCCCACAATCCATATGATCATCTATAACAGACAAGTTCCCAGGTACCAGGCCCTTCTAACGATTACCTTTTCTGATTGTATCCCGGTTTTCTTCCACTACTCTGTTGACTCGATTCTGCTGTGGTTCAACAGCAGGCCCTTGGTCTTCAAGTTCGTCTTCGGTTTCGTCATCACTGTAGGGAACCACTTCATCATTAGGCTGAGAATCTTCCTCAAATGTTGTTTCTGAGTCTCGTCCTGTATTCATTCTGCTGGCAAATTGGAACTACCTGGTTGAAAACAAAGGGAAAACAGAGAGAATGTTGACTCTTGCCCAGCTTTTGGTTGAAGCCTACCTGCTTCCTGTTACAACACCCTTTAACAACATTATCTCACTAACATGTAAATAGTTCTAAATAATGATCCAAAAGTTCCACTTAATATGCAAACAACAGCATTCATTATTGATTAAATTCTTATGTAAATATATACGTGTGTGTGTGTGTGTGTGTGTGTGTGTGCGCGCGCGCGCGCGCGCACGTGTGTGTAGCTGGGTCTAACACAGGCTAAGCAATTGTCTACCACTGAGCCGCATGCCCCACCTTTTAAAGACAGGTACACAAATTTAAGACAAATTTAGTGGGCTACAACCAACATTAAAATAAAATAAAATAGACCAAAAAAAAAAGATGTTCCATATAATAAGAGTAGATACTGTTTAGTAAGTTTTACAAAAGGGGCATATATAGACATTTATCTGCATTGTGGTATCCATGGAGTTGAGCTTCTTACTATGGCTGGTGCAGAGTTGGAAACCATTCCTTCAAGAGTTTTGATTTCTGCTAATGCTAACACTCTGAGCCTTTATTCTGTGACACATTTTAAATCCAACCGTAAAGTCTCAACATTTTCTAATGACTTTCAGGGAGCACTCTCTCACCTTTCTAACTTCCACCCTGGCTCCCTATATAGAATTTCTGTGTCTGTTGCTGCATGAAGTGACCCTACACAGGTACCAAAGATGCCCTTTGTTATATTTATATTGAGAAAATATTTACACAAATACCTCAGATTACTTGAGGAGAGACATACAGCCTGGCATCATTTACATAAGCATCACACTACCATGTACTCAGTATTGTTACCAATGGTAGCTCGAATTTACTTAGTGATAACTGCATGCCAGACCCTGCACCGAAACCCCTGTAGACAGTGGTCTCTTGAGACATCCTACACCCTCTGCTGAAGTTATTGTTCTTGTTTTCTATAGAGAAGATACCCAAATTCTAGGATAGGAAATGACTTCACAATAGTTATTAAAATTTTGCAGCAAAACTGCTTCCAAAGGACAGATCTTCTATGCTTTTATTTTTATGTTATAGCTTATTACATACTTTAACTGAATATAAATGGTGCTGAGTGAAACTGTTTTAGCTGATTGCAGCTTTTTTTAAATTATTATTTTCCTCATTGAGTTTATTGGTACATTTTAGGTATACAGTACAGTTATGTTCATCATTGGGATCTTGTACCTTTACATGACAGGTCTTGGTTCTCATTTTTTTCCCCTTGTCCCTGCCCTCCCTTCACCCCCTCCTCCCTTCCCTATTTACAGATACTTTATTTCCATTTTTTCATTTTCTCATTTTTTTTCTTTTCCCTTATTACCTTTCCCCTACCCTTCCCACTTTCCCTACACCTTTAGCCCTTTTCTTCGTATTTCACATGGTCAATAATCTCATTAGGATCTTATGTACTATTATAGTTTATTCACACCAGAGAAACTATTCAGTATTTACACATGTGTGACTTATTTATTTCACTTAGGAGTATATCCTCTGATTGCAGCTTTTACACCAAATCTAGCATCTTGGACATCAAAATAATTTGTGTACCAACCAGTAGACACTTAAGAAATTTTCAAGTATTTATATTAAGATTTTTTTTCTCCAGTACTAACTAAAACATAAAAGTCAGAAGCAACTTGGCTGTCTAATACTTGTGAATTGTATAAGGAAATTATACGATTAAATGTGTGTCCTCCTATCATAGGAGAGTGCACACTGATTCCAATTGTGCATGATAAAGTATTTAGCGATGCAAAAGTTCAAACATATTAAGCTGAAAGGTGAGTTACAGATCAACATGTAGAAAATAGTCCCAGTTATGCACACGGAATTTCATCAGATGAGCATACTTTTCAGATGATCTACACAAAGTGCTCAACTCAGTTGACAGCTACAGCAAGTCCTTGATAAACATTACTGATTATTGTTGCAAGCTATTATTTTCATAATTAGAAAAGTGTTATTTACAATAGTGAATACAAGGAGTAATCTGTCCCTTAAGTTTTTCCATCTCTAAAATTACTTCTAAAATATATCTGTCCATCATCAAGAAAAAAATTAGAGTATCCTCTTAAAAAATATTGCTAGGGATTTAGCTCAGTGCTGCTGCCATCTGCCTCAGAAGGTCCTCAGTTCGATCCCCTGGTACCAAAAAAAAAAGTCTACTTAGTGAATGTACTTAAGCATAGACATAAAAGCTTTTGCTCTGAGCGTAGTTTTATTCATCTATCTTTATTTCATTTTTTGGTACAAATGCAAATGGCCAATAGACACACTACTCTTAGTTCACTTAAGTTTTGTTTTAGTTGTAAAATAAAGCAGGTTCCCCCTTTTCAGATTTTCTATGGGTTCGTAAATTACTATTTCTTGCAATTTAACACAATTTAGCCTTATTTGTGTTTTTGTAATATAATGCAGTGCCATTTATGCTTTAGCTAATATTTATATTTAATACATTCTCTTAAAAATTCCCAAACTCTTAAAGGCAAAACATTCATTATAAAACTTTCAGAACAAAAATAATAAAAAATAGTCACCATTTTACTTAGCTCATGCTCTGTAAGGAACAGGGCAACTCTGTGAGGCAGGAATTATTCTCCCATTTCACAGATGCCAAGCATGAGGCTGAGCAGTGAGTGGCAGTTTAGGATCTCTATTATGGCAGTATATTAAAACATTCAAAATCCGAAAGCACAATACAGAAACATTTGATCATATATATATGTATATGATATATACATATATTACATTTTAATCACTATCTTAGGCTATTTTCTGTTGCTGTATATGTCAGAGTACTTGAGATTCATTGATTAATGAAGGACAGAGGTTTATTTAGCCTACGGTGCTAGAGACCAGGAGGTTTAAGGACACTGTGCTGCTGCTCAGACAGCTGGTGAGGCTCTTTCTCCCTCATCATGACATGCAGAGAGCATGGCAAGAAAGAGCAAGCATGCCAGCTCGGGTCTCTCTTCTTAGGAAGGCACTAGTGGCTCTCTAAGAAAAAGCCTCTAGTGCCTTCCTCAGGGCCCTCATAACCTCATCTAACTATAATTATTTTCCAACTATCCCACTTCCAGATACCATTAGCATGTGACTTTGGGGATTATGTTTAGAACACATGGATTCTGGGACACAAACCAAAGCCATGAGAATCATCTTTAAATGTAGAGTTCGGTGGCTTGCAGTGCATTCTATGTTAACATTTGGTAAGGAGCCATTTTCGTCATTGCTACCATGCTGACAAATATGCAGTTCTTCAAGGCCTTCAAGGGAAAAGGCAGACAAACACAAAGGAAAGGATCTGACAACCCATGTGCATGTCATCCAAAGCAAGCAAGGGCCATCACTGCCAAGCACCTCACTACCCAGGCAAGTCTGTGCAGGATGAAGTAGTGACCAGAGGAAGGGTGTTCTCCAGTGTGTGCGTGTGTGTTTGTTTGTGCAATGCAGACACACATGGCATCATCTTAGCTTTGTTGTTTTAGACAACCAAAGGGAAACTAAGAAGAAATAGTTTCTTTAAAGCTCTAAATTATAGAAAGAAGCTTTCTAGATTTAAATCTTGACCCCCTAAAGGCAGGCTCCACAGATAGTGTAGAGAACACTCCAGCACACAGCAGATAGGCATGTATTTACTTAGTATCCATTAAGCATCTTTGAGACTGGCCTCACCGGAAACCAATACTGCTGACATCTTGCTCTGGAACTTCCAATCTCCAGAACCATAAGAAAACAAACACCTATTGTTTATGCCACTAGGTCGGTAGTATTTTGTATGGCAGCCTGAGCAGATTAATACACTTTTGTTTCACATGGTACTTCTTTTTTCTTTTTTGCAATGGGGATCAAACTTGGGACCTTGCACTTGGGAGGCAGGCAGGGGCACCACTGAGCTAAATCCCCAGTCCTTCACATGGTACTTTAGATTAAGTCCATTTTCTTTCCTCAAGAGCTTCCTGCAAGGGCTCTCACTCCCCACACTTTCCCTCTCAGGCTTGAATCCAGGGCCTCACACATGCCAGGCAAACACTCTAGCATTGAGCTGCGTCCCCAGCTCAATGGAGATTGACTTTAAAGTCCCCTTACAGTGATGCAATTGAACAGGTATCTGCCCTCTTCTGCTGCCACTGGCCTCCTGACCACTGACATTTCTGTTTCCTTCTTAGCACTTACCACAACTTAAAAATACACACTTGCTTTTACTTACTTATCATCTGCCCGTCTCACTAGACCACAGGCTGTACACTCAGCCCAGTCTGTGACCACTCAGCACCACACAGTTGGCATTCAAAGACCTGGAAAAAGAGCAAATAAATCTCCAGTAAAGTCCTAGAGGACTTGGAGAGTTGGCTACTACCAAAGTTCTTTGCCGTGTCTTCACAGTTCGTACCAACTACATAGTAATAGATTCAAGCATTCATAGTAATAGATTCAAGCATTCAAGGATAAACACTTGAGGATAATGAGGAGGGAAAAAGAACAGCCAAGTTCAGAAGTCCTACCACATGGAGCTTTTAGGATTTTGACTCATTCAAAACCACCAAAAACTTACTGCTCAAGATTTTACCAGCACATGAAGTAAAACAAGTTGTCTGCTAAGGTGCTGAAGGTACTGAAGGCAAAGACCTACCTTTCTTGTTTATCAAAATAACTGCAGCACCTGGTACAATGTCCACCATGGAGGAGGCAATCTTGTTTCTTTCCTTATAGGACTCATCATCTAGACAGCAATTCACCAGTTATGGCTTGGGGGCTATAGCTGGTCTACTGCATGTTTTCTTGAATCTTTATTAGATCATTCATTTAGGTACTGTCTGCTTTAGCACTACAGTGGCAGAGAAGAATACAGTATTTGCAATAGAGACTACATGGCTTTAAAAGCTCAATTATTTACTCTTCGGCTTCTTATGGAAAAAGTGTGCTGACCTCTGGACTAAAAGGAAAGATAGTAAGAGACAGCAGCAAGACAAGCGGTCAACCTCAAATGCCCTCAAATTAGGTAAATCATGTGTGCTTTGGGGATGTGCAATAAACTACCAGGTAGAGTAGAGGTGAAATGTCCCTAAGGAAAAGAGTTGCCATATTGACTTGGAGGCGTTATTTCTTTGAGTGTTTAAAAGCTGTGTAACTGGGAAAGACAGCATTTCAAGTGCTTATGGGACAGTACACAACCATGTAGCCTTCATGTAAGATGCTGTGGTGGTCTCACCCCAGAAAGGATGGCTGCTATCAAGAAATCAACCAATAACAAATGCTGGTGGGGTTGCGGGGAGAAAGGAACCCTTCTCCATTGTTGGTGGAAGTGTAGACTGGTGCAACCACTATGGAAATCAATATGGAGATACCTCAAAGAACTAGGAGTAGAGGTTCCTTCTGACCCAGCTATCTGTCTTTCCAAAAGAATTAAAAGAATCACACCACAGCAACATATGTGCATCCATGTTTATAGCGGCACCATTTGTAATAGCTAAAACTTGGAAACAGCCCATTTGCCCATCAGTTGGAACCTGGATAAAGAAGGTGTGGTTTTTCTATAAAATGGAATAGTATTCAGCCATAAAGAATGAGAAACTAGAGTCATTCATAGGAAAATGGATGCATATTGAGGTCATGCTCTTAAGTGAAATAAATAAGATACACATGTGTAAATACCAAATAGTTTCTCTGGTGTGAAAAACTAAAAGTGTAAATAAGGTTCAAGTTGTATAATTGAAAATGTGAAATAGGAAGAAAAGGACTAAAGGAGTTGGGGAAGTAGGAAGGGTAGGGGAAAGGAAAGAAGGGAAAAGAAAAAAATACAAGAAAAGGAAAAAATGGAAACAAAGTCACTGTAAATAGGGAAGGGTGGAGGCGGTGAAGGGAGGACAGGGGTATGGGGGAGAAATAAGAATCAAGATACACCATGTAAAGGTACAAGATTCCAATGTTTAATGTAACTGCACTGTACCCCTAAAAAGTGCCAATAAACTTAATGAGAAAACAAGATGGTGGTGCACCTTGTAACCCATCCACATCCCATTCCATGAGGATTAATTAATTCATTGTTAGTCCATGCGCTTACACACTGAAAGTAAAAGTGAATCAGCACAAGTGGGCAAAGGATTTACTACCATTAAAAAGAATTCATCAGTGTGATATAGCATTCAAAGGTCTTATGGCCATGTGTCTTTAGAAGCTATCTTTAATCAGCTAAGCTATAAGAAGAGATTACATTTTTTAGTTTTGTGTGTGTGTGTGTGCGTGTGCCTGGGTAAGTTTCAAAATGCTATATAAACATGTATGTTTAAAAGGTGTACTGTATACTAAAAATAAGACTCATTTGATTTCAGTTTTGTAATAAATATGATTTTATCAAATCAATGTGATTTCACATTGAAAAAGTAAATAAACATCCTAACTAGTAATACAAGTGGATGTAACTCAAATCATATCCACCTATATGCTCCTCCAAGTGTCTCAGTCCTCAAGGTAATCTCATTCCAGATAGTATCACACTGGATGTGAAAATAGCTACAGAGCATTTATTTCACTGTTTATTTTTTGTGGTGTTGGGGATTGAACCCAGGGCCTCATACATGCCAAGCAAGGGCTCTACCATTGACATCATGGCATTCCAGCCCTGATTACAGAGCTGGAATTTATACCCCAATGTACATGGTTACCACTGAATGAACAGTCCCAGTGTTGGAATATGACTGGGTATATGGCAAATTCACTTTTAAGAAATGAGCCGTAGGAAGCAGAAAATAAGGATCATCCTGCAATAATCTGCACACAGAATAGGCCATCAAGAAACAGAGCTGGTGTCAGGGAGTGACTTTATGGTCATACATTAGTGACAAGCGGTCAGAATGTCATTGGGCCACGTACTGCTGGTGCTGTAGCTCATGGAGTAGCCACCTACTGCTAAAGAGCAGTGCCTGTTGCTTGGATTGAGAGGCAGCACAATTTGTGGGGAAGAATATGAATCTGCATTAAAATTTTTTTGTTGTTGTTTTTGGGGACAGGGTCTTACTATATAGTTCAGGCTGGCCTTGAACTCACTGTGCAGGCTAGGCTGGCCTCAAACTCACAGCAATCCACCTGCCTCAGCCTCCCAAGTGCTAGGATTGAATGCCTGGCTGCATTCAAATCTTGGCTCTCCTTTTCACTAGTTTATAATTTGGGTGAGTTATCTAACATTTTGAAAGTGTGTATTTCCCACAGGCAAAAAAAAAAGCAAGAGGAGGAGGAGGAATGTTTATATTTCATAATTTCATATACTATAGAGGTTAATTTGGATAGCAAATGGCTATGAAAACCCTCAGCAGTGTCTAATAGATAATAGATACAATGTGAGTATTAACTTCTATTCCCTGCTTCTCCTTGTTCTTGAGATCAAGACTTTCAAGGCAAAGACTCAAAGACGAAATTCACCAGAGAGGAAGGATCTCCCCAGTCCTCAGCCCTGACAAAGGGGACCTTCATACATGGCGAGGTCAGGGCCTGCCACTTCACTACTAGCCAGATGTCACAGTTTGCATGTGGCTTGTTTCCCAAGGCTCTGTGCATTGTAGGTGAGGAATTTGAAGAGGTGAGGCCTAGTGGGAGATCTCTGGGTCAATGGGCTGTGCCCTGGGAAGGGCTTGAGGGATTTCTCAGGAGACTGCTTAGCTGTTTAGAGAGGGTTATTATGAAAGCCCAAGTCTGGTACCTCCCAGGCTCTCTCTGACTTCCTGTTTGAGATGTGGCTCCCCTACATGTCCCTGCTACTGCCATCTACCATGACATGATGCAACCAAGACAGAATTTCCTCAAGCCTACACCTTGCCATTAGGGGACTTTCAGCCTACAAAACTGAGGGTGTTAGAAAAACCTCTTAATAAGTTAGTCCACCTCAAATATTTCATTATGGTGATAGAAAGCTAATACACCAGGTTTCTGTACTACTCAAGTTGAATGTCCAGGACTTGGCATGCATAGCTCTCCCGACCTTACCATCTTTGTGAGGTCAGCACCCCAGGCTGCGTATGGCCATCCCTCCTCCTCTGTCCCAGATTGTCCCCCACCATTGCCTCCCAACAATCCTGTGTTACTTGGCATACATAGCTCTCCCGACCTTACCATCTTTGTGAGGTCAGCACCCCAGGCTGCGTATGGCCATCCCTCCTCCTCTGTCCCAGATTGTCCCCCACCATTGCCTCCCAACAATCCTGTGTTACTTGACTGCATACTTTTCTCTAAGCCTGCCTAATAACAGCAGGGGCCGAGATAGTAGGAGGCAAGAGGTATCATCTGTATTAGAGTTTGGCATTGGGATTTTCCAACTCTTTAACAATATGGTGCCCTCATTCCCCATCTGGCTCCCTGAAGTATCCATCTCTCTTCATCATAGACTCCAGAATAAAGGAGGTTGGTAACATAGCAGGATTTTCAAACTTGAACCTTTATATTGAATCTATTGTATTTGAGTACTTGGCTACCAAATTAACAGCCATGACGTGAACAGATGAATGGACTCTTCTGTTCCCTTTGCAGAAGAAGAGGCTTTGAAAGAAAGAAGAAAAGGGGAGACATAGGCAAGAGAGAATTAGATTTCTGCCTTTGCATCAATAAGACCCCAAATTGCCACACTCTGGGAGGCAAGAGAATCTCAAGTCTGAGCCCAGCCCGGACAATTTAGGGACTTAGTGAGATCCTGTCTCAAATTAAAACATAAAACAGGGTAGGGTGGGTTGAGAGTATATCTCAGTGTTAAGGCCTAGGTTCAATTCTCAAGACAAAAACAAAACAACCCTTGATGTCACTGAAGCCAGAAAAATGAAAACAAAAACTCATGTTGCTATCACAAGGTTTCTAAATTTAAATGAAGGAAAAATAGGACCAAAAAAAGTTTCATTTTGCTACTAATAGGACAAAGTGATCTATATACATTCATAATAGCAATGGGAGTTTAGAGGCTGAAAAGACCAAGTCCCCAGTCAATGACATCTTTGTTGTGTAACTTGATTTGTGTCCAGGGAGACCAAAGCTCAGAAAGGAAGATCCACAATATTCATTCTTGCTCATTTGTCATCATCTCTTTTTAGTTTGGAAAGTCCTCAATGAGAAGAGGAATTTCTAAAATATGTTTTTCCTCATGTCATTTATTACTATTAAAGATAAGGCTGTAAAATACTTAACATATGATATTGTATTTCTGTATGTTCTATGCTTTTTTTTATTATATATTTGATACAAAATAGACAAAACTCTGGCAGACAGAATCTAAATTGGTCTCCAATGACCCCACCTCCAGGACTTCACAACCATGATGGTTTAGATCTAAAATGTCCCCCAGAAGTCTCCTGAGTCAAAGATGGCAGCTTACGGAAGGCAGCTGGACTGGATCACAAGAGCACTCCAAAGGCTGAGAGGAAGTAGGGCCTGGTTGGGGGAGGTGATTTGCCGGGGGCATGTTGTGGAAAGGTATATTCTGTGGCAGACCCCCTCCTTGATCTCTTTCATCTGTCATTAGGCAGACAGTTTCTCTGCAAGTCCCCCACCATGATGTTACCACCTCAGGGCCAGCTGAACACAGACTGAGACGTCTGAAACCAGGAGTCAAAACAAACTTTTTCTCCTTTAAATTGTGTATATTAGATATTCTTTTCCAGTGACAAGAAGCTGACTAATCTAGTGTTCTTGTAAAATCTCCTCCCTATGAGTGTGGGCTGGACATGGCCCCTCGCCAGCTGACTCTCTCCTCTTCTTGGCTTCAGCAAAGTGGCTTCCCAGTGGACAGGCTCAATGGAAAGAAACAGAGTGGGCATCCAGCAATAGCCAGAGAGGACGGGGGCCCTCAGGCCAACAACCTTCAAGAAATACATTTTGCCAACAGGGACATGAACATGGAAGCAGGTCCTTCCTCAGTTCTACCTCTAGAGGAGACCCCTTATTGGGCTGATGCCTTAACTGCATTTGTGAGAAATCCTGCAACAGATGCTCAGACACCTGACCCATAAACTAGGAGCTGGTGCATGTGAATTATTTGCTAAGCTTAGGAGTAATTTGTTATGAAATAATAATTAATACACACATCATTAATTACAGCTGTAACAATTCTATGATAAGGTGCCTAGTGTGATTACTATTATTCTAAGTTACTCCAAAGAAAAGCTTTTATCTAAAAAGCAACAGAAATCTGTTATCCTGGTTCCTCCAGATGCATGCTACACCCTGCTTGGAATCTGCCCAATATTTGTGAAAGCAAAATCTGACAAGCTTGATGACAGTTGTAATTAGTCAAAGAATCTTATGAAGCAATAGCAATAAAACATATCTAACATCTAGATTAAATTTAAACTTTATAATGTTATCAAAGCAACATAATTACAGTTTCTGGCACAAAAGAATTTTATTTTTTCATTGTCTCCCAAATCAAAGCTTAAAGATCTACAAAGCTGGAATCATTAATGTAAAACTAGGGGATCATTATTATCACCGCTGTAGGAACCAATTCAGCTATTTGCTCATGAGAGAAAAAACTTCTCTAGATCCATAACTTCATCACATGTTTCTCAAAAAGCTTATCCTGGAGCTCTCTGCCACCAAAGAAGACTGGCTACCATTTCCTACTGTTCAACCTCCAAAGCAACTGCAGAAAAATGGGCAGGAGAAATCTTAACACTTTGACATTTCAGAGAAGAGCAGTTTTTTTTTTTTCATTGCCTTGTGTTAGACAGCTTTTCTTTTGGAACAAAAAAATCTGACAAAAAGAGTTTAAAGAATGAAAGGTTTGGTTTGACTTAAAGTTTCAGAGGTTTCAGTCCATGGTTTGCTGGCTCCAGACTTTGTAGCAGTCTGAACCAGAGAGAGATAGAGAGACAAGTGGGGTGGAGAGTGAGAGAAGGAGCCCGTGCAGAGTTACATCCTTCAGAGACACAACCCCGGTGACCTACTCCCTCCAAATGGGCTGCACCTCTTAATAACCCATTCAGCTAATGAACTCATCAATGGATTCATCCATTTTTGAGGTCAACACCCCCATGATCCAATCACCTCTCTAGGTTCCACCTCTGCACAGTGCTACTTTGGTGATCAAGACCTCAGGTCATGCGTCTTTTGGGGATACTTCTGATTTAAACCCTAGCATTCCTAGGTAAGATGAAAGGATTTATTAGTACAACTCTGTCATAAGTTCTCCAACATATCCAGATAACAATGATTCCTTCTAGGTAACATGAGGCTGTCTCTTACAGTTCACAAAGTTTTGTTCACACACACACACACACACACACACACACACACACGCACACACACACACACGCACACACACACATTGTCTCAGACAGTTGTCACGGAAACATTCTGAGTTGTGCTGTTAGGCACCATCATTGTCTTTTACCAGTGAGATAACTGAGGCAGTGAAGGAAACTGCTCAAGGTTAGTGAACTCCTTGGTATACGTCATATACATCAAACTGAATTCTGCACCTCTCCCTACATATCCAGGTTCTGTGCTCCATGTGGTACAGCAAATGCTTCATGGATTCAATCACAATTCAGGCCCTGTCCAGGAATCATGCCTACTGTGTAAACATTTCATCATTGTGACAAAATGCAGTTACCTGATAATCGTTTTTTCTCATTGAGTTTATTGGTACATTTTAGGCGTACAGCACAGTTACATTCATGACTGGGATCTTGTACCTTTATATGACAGGTCTTGGTTCTCATTTTTCCCCATACCCCTTCCCTCCCTTCACCCCCTCCTCCCTTCCCTATTTACAGATACTTTATTTCCATTTTTTCATATTTTTTTTCTTTTGTCTTATTTCCTTTCCCTTACCCTCCGCACTTCCCCTACAGCTTTAGCCCTTTTCTTCATATGAGATAGTCAGTCTTTTAAAATAAGAGGATGATTATCCTGGCTAACAGTTCTGTAGGTTTTGGTGTCTGCACGGTCAGCCCATTCCTCTTGGGCCTGTGGTGAGGCCGCCCACCTTGCTGGGAGTGTGTGGCAGAGGGGACCTGTTCACCTTATGATGGTCAGGAAGTAGAAGAGAAATGACAGGGAGCCCCCACCTGCCTCTAGGCCACACCCCCAGTACTTCCCCTTTACTGGGGGGAGCTGAGTAGAAGGAAGCAGTTTCCCTCTTTTAGGCTCTACCTCCTACAGGTTCCACCACTTCCCAGGAGCACCACAGCCTAGGGGCCAAGCCTTCTACACATGGGCCTATGGGGGACATTCAAGATCCAAACTGTAGCAGCCAATTAGAGCACCATTTGTCACAAGAAAACTGTAAGCATAAAAATGAAGAAATTAAGCAAAATAAACCAAACTATACAGTCTATAGATAGATCTTTCCGACACCGAGTTTTATGAATTAAAATGCTTCCCATTTATATCATGTACAGTAATTTGATCATTATTTCCTACATGTTTTGGAGCTAGACAATATGGGATGCACTGAAGTGGTCAGGAAGAGTGGATGGAGGGGGTTTTCAGGAATGAGGAACAGCTAGAATATGGACTCAGAGGCAAGAAAATACAAAGGAGAGGCCAGGCAGCTCCTCCTT